GCGTCTTGGGTGCCCGGGGGAGCGGGATTGCGGGGGATCTGGGTTCCGGGGGTTTCTAGGCTCTCAGGAAGGGCTGGGGGGTGTTGCGGGCTGCGCAAAGGAAAGGTGTCTTGATTTCTGCCCTGAAATGGGGGTGGGGTGAGGAAGAGACTAGGGCTGGTTTCCTGGGACCCGGGAGGACAGAGGGCCCAGGTCTGTGCGGGTCCCCTCGGCTGCGCAAGGTGGGGTTGAGGACTGGATCCTCTCTCCTCACCGGAGCATGGAGCTGGAGCCCCTGCCCTTCTCTCCCCAGAACATGTCACCCGAGGAGTGGACGTATCTGGTGGTTCTTCTCATCTCCATCCCTATCGGCTTCCTCTTTAAGAAAGCTGGTGAGTCAAGTTCCCTCCCCGGTGGAAATTGGGGGGGCGGTCTGGGGCGGGAGGGGGTGAGGAGGGAGCCCCTGGAAGGAAGGTTCCAGGCTTATGCTGTCCTTTCCCCCGCAGGACCTGGGCTGAAGAGATGGGGGGCAGCGGCGGTGGGCCTGGGGCTCACCGTGTTCACCTGTGGCCCACACACGCTGCACTCTCTGATCACCGTGCTGGGGACCTGGGCGCTCATTCAGGCCCAGCCCTGGTGAGCATGGGGGTGGCGCCTGTGTCCTCCTTGGGTCTCTGTCCTCTGGTTGTCTCCTGTTCCTCTGATTTTCCTTCTCTCCAGCTTGCTCTGCGCCTGTCCCTCCATGTTGCCCGCCTGTCCATCCCTGTGTGATGTCCCCGCCACCGTGCAGTCCCTCAGCGCCCACCCCACCCCAGGCCCAGCATGAGCTGGGTCTTAGTGATGAAGGACATGGAGGACTGAAGGGTCTTCGGCCTGAAGCCTCTCTTACTCCTGTCCATTTCTCCCTTCTCTGCGACTGTGCCCCGTTCTTTCCAGCCTCGTATTTCCTGTCTGAACTCTGAATGTGGGGGAGATTGGTGCTGAGATTCTGGGGAGGGAATGCAGACCTGGGGTCCCCACACCCACACAGTGCCTCCCACCTCTGCCCCAGCTCCTGTCACGCCCTGGCCCTCGCCTGGACCTTCTCCTACCTCCTGTTCTTCCGAGCCCTCAGCCTGCTGGGCCTGCCAACTCCTACGCCTTTCACCAATGCGGTCCAGCTGCTGTTGACACTGAAGGTCAGCCTGGACTCCCACTCCCCCAGCCTCCCTGGGTCCGCGGCTTCACTCCTCCCAGCCCTTCCCATGGGGGTTAGGGATCTTATCTCACAAACCCTGAGTGTGGGAACTGAGCGTGCCTCTCACATGCCCCAGAGCAGTCTTCACCTCTCCTCTCCTTCTGGGGTAAGGAAAGAGCCCGGTTATAATAGGAGGAGCTGTTTGGCGCCTGTGCCTTGTGAGCCTGCTTTGCCAGCGCGCTCTGCTCTGCTCAAAGCTCTGTAGCAAACTTTTGCAGAAGTGGAAAATCAACTTTGGAGAGTAGTTATCTGGCCAAGGGCATCACCCGGCACAGCCAGGTGTGGCTCCTAATCACCTGGGAAGGTAGGTGGAAGCAGACTCCTAAGCCCTACTCCAGACCTGCCAAGTCCAGACTTCCTGCTCCTTCCGGGGTCAGCACATCTGTGAACAGAGCGGTCACGCAAGGTGGAGAACTGGCTTCTCGGCATTCTGTTATCATGGGGGCTCAAGGAATAGGCAGGAGTCGGTCAGCTGAGGGGAGACCATCTCAGGATGTGTGGGGACCAGGGACCAATGGAATGGGAGCTGGCCAAGTGCCACAGAGTACTGCCACATCAGCTTCCTGAAGCGCACACAGGGCAGTGGGCAACAAGGTCCAGGCCACGAAGGTCCTTGTCAGCTACGGCAGGAGGTGGAACTTCCCTCTGGAGGACCAGGGTCTACTGGAGAAGGGTTTCGGTTTGTTGCCAGAGAAAGGATGCAATCAGCTTTGCATGTTTTGAATGGTAAAATACCCTGAGCCAGTTGTGGTGACATAGGCTGCTGCCACCACACCTATTATCCCAACAGCTCCAGAGGGCTGTGGACGTAGCCCAGGGGTGTGTTGCTTGCCTAGCAAATGGGGAGCCCTGGGTTCAATCCCCAGACCCACAAAAACTTGAGAAAAAAATACACACCCTGGATACTGAGAGAAGTGAGGTGGGATGGGCCGAGATGGTATGAGATAGGCTTCCTTCATCGAGGGCCACGTGACGATAGTGACAGCGTGATGTGCGCTGTCGGCTGTGCTAAGCAGCTCAGAGCCCAACAGGAAATGCTGCTTGAAGACAGCTAGAGGGGTTACTTGCAGCAGATTGGATGGAAAGAAGGGACGCTGGCTAGGAGTGGCGCTGTTACCCAGGGCAAGTCCTGCTTGATACGTGCTCTCCAGGGCACAGTCTGCCAAGGGAAGAAAAGCCCTGCCCTCACCATCCTGCCAACCCCAATTCCTGTCCTGTTGGACCAGGTGTCCACCACACCCAGCAGGAAGCTGGAGACACCTGTGCCCTAGGGCAGGCCTTGCCCGGGGTGTACCAGGTAGAGAGGAGCTCTGGAGAGCAGGTAGGACATCCGCAGCTCCACAGAGGAGGCGGGGAGAAGGACACAGACTGGATAAACCCAAGGGTTAGGGTCTGGGTTTCGTGGTGGCTTCCAGCCTAAGCAGCTGACTGATGGGGGTGGCCTCTGCCGGGACAGACTAGAAGATCTGCTTGGGCGGTGGGCGACAGGTTCCATTCTGGAGGTGTTGCAGTGGACGTGCCTGGAAGGCTTCAAGTATAAATGGCAACTGGGCAGTTTGCTGGGTGGGTCTGGGCTCGGCAGAGGTCCAGGCTGGGCAGCGTTTGGGTGTCATTGACATGTGGACGCTGTAAAGCTACGGGACTGTATGAGAGCACACAGGGACAGACAGTAGAGAAAGGAGAGGCCCTGGTAGAGCCGGAAGGGTCTCCCGCCACTCGGGTGCCCGGGCTGCCCACAGGTGGTTCCTCCCTGCTGCTGCCACAGCAACGTAAAGGACACTGTGGGGCAGACCGGGCTCACCACGCTGCCTGCCCTTCCCCAGCTGGTGAGTCTGGCCAGTGATGTCCAGGACCTGCACTTGGCCCAGCGGAAGGAAATGGCCTCGGGCTTCAGCAAGGCGCCCACCCTGGGGCTGCTGCCCCACGTCCCCTCCCTGACGGAGACGCTGAGCTACAGCTACTGCTACGTGGGGATCATGACGGGTGAGTGGCTCGCCCCTTGTGGCTGCCTGCGGCCCGCTCTCCTCCACCCGGCGTTTGGTGCCGGTTGTGCTGGTTCTGAGTCTCATGGCCCTGGGCTCCCTCCATCCCAGTGTCTGCTGTCCAGTGCTGAGCACGCTCAGGATGGTTCCTTCCTTTCACCCTCGGAGCTCACAGGAGCCAGCAGAGAGGGAAAGGAGAGGAGCCTGTGTCAGCCTGGTGGGTCTGCCCCCAAGGAGCAGACTCAGCCTAGGACCCACGTGTGACACTCGCACTGCGCAGTTGTTTGCATGATGTCGTCTGCCTGAAGGAAACACCTGCCTTTGGTCATCATCCCCAACCCATCCCACCCACAAACCACTCACTGCCTGTCTCTGGATGTGCCCGGCCTTGGCAGGAGTCACACACGCATGGTTTCTTGTGAACGTCCAAGGTTTTCACACTCATGACTTCTGTCAGGCCCTGCTGCCTCTCCCTAGGCCACCCCACCACCAGGTCGTGGGGCCTCTGGCCCCTGTTCCTTGCTCCTGGAGTGGGGCTGTTGGAAGTGGGGGGAACCAGTTCTCCTGCTGGAGAGGCCTTCAGTGGCTCCCTAGTGCTCATTGGGCAAAGCCACATCCTCACGCCTGTTGGCCTGGGCGGTCCCGTCTTCTCGGGCTGCTGTGCCTCCTGTGACTCTTGCATCACGTCACCCCGCGTCCAGGCATCGTCTGTCCTCATCTGTCTCCGTGTTAGTCCCTCTTAAGATCTCCTAGGGTCTTCATCTGCGTCTTTCTGTCTGTTCTGTGTGTGGTTCCCTGGGCCACTGGTTCTTCCTCTCCTGCCCCCTCAGCCTCTGACCGCCTGACCCTTCCGCCCACAGGCCCATTCTTCCGCTACCGCACGTACCTGGATTGGCTGGAGCAGCCCTTCCCAGAGGCTGTGCCCAGCCTGCGGCCCCTGCTCTGCCGGGCCTGGCCGGCCCCGCTCTTCGGCCTGCTCTTCCTGTTGTCCTCCCACCTCTTCCCGTTGGAGGCTGTGCGTGAGGATGCCTTCTACGCCCGCCCGCTGCCTACCCGCCTCTTCTACATGATCCCCGTCTTCTTCGCCTTCCGTATGCGCTTCTACGTGGCCTGGATTGCTGCCGAGTGCGGCTGCATTGCTGCTGGCTTTGGGGCCTACCCTGTGGCTGCCAAGGCCCGGGCCGGAGGCGGCCCCACCCTCCAATGCCCACCCCCCAGCAGGTCAGGCGAAGGGAGGGAGGCTTCCCAAGACTCAGCAGGCCCTGCCACCACCGGCTGGCCCTGCTAGGCTGGCCCTGCCCCCAGCAGGGAGGAGAGTGGGGAGCAGGGGCAGGGCCACTGAGTGTGGTGAGTGGTGTGTCACCCCTGGCGACCGCCACCTGCCTTCCCTTCTCAGCAGGGGTCCAGTATTCTCGGTACCTTTTCATTGCCCCTTGTTTCTAGCACCCCTCAGCCCTCTGTGTGGTGAATCCCCCTTTGTCGCTAGAAAAGGAAGATATGTCCTAGCAGCTATGTGTCACCCCAAGAGCCAGGTTATTCCTGGTTTCTGGGATGCCATCCTTGGGTAGTGGTAGATCATCCTCTGTTGCTAGGGGAATGGTTGCTTAGCAACTTAGCCCCCCCTTTCTAGGAAAGCAGTTCCCCTAGCAACTCTAGTTCTCTTTTTGCCAGACATCTTGCTCTTTGGGACTACAGAACCTGTGCCCCCTGAGTTCCTCCTGTGTTTCGGGAGCCAGCACCTCTCCCTGTGAGATGTTGTCACCTAGCAGCTCTCAGTCGCCCTCTATCTCCAAGGAAATAGCATCTCTGACCGTGCCCTCCTCCAGCTAGGAGGCCATCCTTCCCAGCAATGACAGGTCACCCCTCCTGTTACCAGGGACGCCAGCCCTCCCCCTGGTAACTGTGTCTTGACCCCTGTTGCTCCTGCTGCTGCCTGTGCCCCACCACTACCATTGCTGGGTGGGTCACACAGTGGGTAACCAGACTACTCCACTGCTGCTGAAAGTGTGCTCCTGGGTTGCTAGGGAAGTGGCTGATCCTCTCCCCTAGAAACCATGGCCAGCGTTCCACCTGGGACTGGGGCCGAGGCAACATCCTGATGTAAATTGCAAACCACTCCTTGCCAGGTTGTGGCACCCACTGCCCTAGTAACCGTGGGCAGACCTCCAGCTGCTAGAGAAGATGTCCCTCGGAAGCCAGGCAAGTGCCGAAGGCTTACTGAATCTGCCAGGCCCCACTTCAGAAGGATGGCTCCTCTACGTCACTGAGGGCTCAAGGGGCTGTTCTCTGTTATGGGGCTGTTGGCATCAGTGACGTGGAAACCACTGTGTTTCTGGAGGTGACACTTCTCAAAAATTCACAGGAACCAGGACAGAATGGCCCTTTCTGGAAGCTTTTCTAAACAGCCTGGGCCTTGTTGCTAAGGAATCCTTTCTCCATAGCAACAGATCATCGAGTCTCACGCCTAGAAGTCTCCCTAGCAACCATCTCCTTTAGAAAGGATGCTTCCCTGGCAACACACTGTCCCATGGTTCAGAAGGGACTGCACTTGATAGCTTCTGTGAATGTGCCAAGCTTGGTTGCTAAAGGACTGAGCAGTCGCACACAGCCCCTCCAGGCTTTTAGTGGCCATGGCAGCCCACCCACCAGTTCCAAGAAGAGCAGCCCACTGCTGGTGGATGGAGCCTCACCCACCCACCTTGCTCCCCCAAGGCTCCCCCTGGGCTTCTTCCCATGTTCCCTGAGCAAGTCTGACAGCCAGGAAGCTGTTGCCTGGCCAGAATCGCTCCTTAGTTAGTGTCGGGCTGGGACAGGAGCAGGCAGCAGGAGGGGCCTGGCTGAGCTGCATGTCTGTCCTGCCCTCATCCCCACCCCAGTCTGGAGAAGGCGGCTGCCCTGGAGTATGACTATGAGACCATCCGCAACATCGACTGCTACAATACAGACTTCTGCATGCGTGTGCGGGAGGGCATGCGGTACTGGAACATGACAGTGCAGTGGTGGCTGGCGCAGTACATCTACAAGAGCGCACCTGCCCGCTCCTACGTCCTGAGGTGAGGGAGCCCTCCCTGGGTGCTGGGATGGCCCAGAACTGTGAGTCCCAGCAGCCCCCAGGCAGCCCATGGCTTCCCTGCTGGAGCCCTGCCCCTGGGACTCATGGGAATTGTTTCTCAGGCACTGCACTGGGGTAAACCATCCCTGTCTGGGCCTAAGGTCCTCCTCATGTAGCAGGGCAGGGTATTGGATCCTATTCATCTTTTTTTTTTTTGTACGGGGGATCAAACTTGGGACCTTGTGCTTCCAAGGCAGGTGGCGGAACCACTGAGCTAAATCCCCAGCCCCTACTCTTTATCTTGAGACAGTCTCGCTAAGTTGCCAGGTTGGCCCTACACTTGGCATGCTCCTGCCTCAGGCTCTGGAGTCGGTGGAACTGTAGAAATGTACCACCGCACCAGCCTCCCCTTGTGGTGTTTCTTGAGGAGAAACCATGTGAGGTTGGGTATCACCTAAGTCACAGACAGAAGTGGCACTCTTATCCTCCCCATGTTTTTTATCCCCATTCTAAGTGAAGAGATCAAGGTCCAGAAAGGGCAGGCAGCCAGCTGCCTGTCACTAAGCCTCCCCACCACCAGAGGAGCTCATGATATGCCGAATGTTTCTCTAAGGAGTTAGGCCTGCCTGGGTGTGATCTGACCCGTGCTTTAAAGACCCACTTGGAGCCAGCTGTCATCCCGGCACTCAGGAGGCAGAGGCAGGAGGGTCACAAGTTTGAGGCCGGTGTGGGTATCTTAGCAAGACCCTAGGCCTGTGTTTAACCCCCAGTACCCAGGGTGAGGGGATCCTCTCCAGCTTGTGTGGATAATGTAGCAGAGGGGAGGAGGGAGCAGGAGCGGAAGCAGGGAGGCAAGTCAGAGACCTTTGGGTTGTCCAGGCCAAGGTGACTGAAAGCAGGGAGTCCTCCGCGGGGAACAGCAGCCCAGAAGTCGCCAGATTGGAGAGCAAAGCCAGGGCTCCGGTGTACTGTGCCTGGCTCAGGAGAGGCGGGGAACGAAACCTGATTCCCAGCATGTAGGTGTGGGTGTTGATGGTGGAGGACACAAGAGGTGTCCTGAGAAGGGGAAGACACAGTGTGGGGGCCTGGGGATGGGGGGTTGGAGAGCAAGACTGGGTTCAGCCTCCTCCACTCCGGTGACTCACATTTGTGGCTGGGCCCCTTGCACAGGCAGTGACATGGTTCTGAGGCCTCAGGGAAAAGCTGGCATCAGCAGTGGCCACTCGAGTGTCCTCTGTGTAAATGAGACGGCCCCGTCGGGTCAGGGCCTCAGCACCGCAGGGCCTAGTTCAGTAGTCTCCAACTGAGTGACTGCCCATGACAGTGGCAGACATGGGGTCTCCAGCATGCTAGGGACTCGCTTGTGTCCCAACTGGGAGGTGCTGTGCAGCCAGTGGGTGGGTGCAGGGCCATTTCTGGGCACCCTTTCTGTTCACCTCCCTCCACTGAGGACCTCAGTCCGCTTACCCTGGCTGGGTCATTGCTGCACCTCAAGCCAGGTGTATCGGGCCGGCCCACAGGTGAGGAGCACTGGTCACACCAAAGGAGGCTGCAATAGGACGATGCCTGTGTCCTCGGCTGGGGGCTCAGAGCCTGAGTTCGTGGGTTTTAGTAGCTGGAGAATTAGGTTTCTGGGTCCAGAGTGCAGGGAATCAAATCTTGGGGTCTGCAGAGGAGGGGAAGTGTGGCTGGAGATTTCTTGAGTCCATGAGTCAGGAATTGCACTCTTCAATTGCACTCTGATTCCCTAAAGCAAAAGCATCTGGGGCCACAAGTTCATGGGTCCTCAGACAGCAGTAGTCTCCTGGGTCCTGGGAGAGGAAGGGAGACAGGCTTCTGAGACCTGTGTGATGAGTGTGTGTGGTGCTGAGGATTGAACCCAGGGCGTCGCTCTGCTGGGCACTCTCGGCCAGTCAGCTACATCCCTTGTTCTGGCTTAAAGGAGGACCTGATTGTACAGGGTTGGGCAGCTCAAGACTCTTGTTCTCCCAAGAGGAGCGGGACCCTTGGCTTCCAGATTCTCCAGAAGTGAGGGAAGGTGGTGCCGGGCCGTGGAGGGAGAGGCGCAGAACCCCGGCCAGCACGGGGGCTTCTGGGTCTTGGGCTGGACCATGGTTCTCTTACAGGAGGACTTGTCACATCGGAGCATTCATGTGGGCTCCATGCCTGGGATTTCTGATGCCAGTGGGTGGAGCCCAGGAGTGTGTAGTCTAAGGAGTTTGAAGGGATGCGGTCAGACACACACGTACTTTGAAAACCAATGGCCAAGGCACTGGACTTCTGGCCCTAAGGGAGGAAGGGCCATGGGCCATGAGACCCGGTGGGGGACAGGGCCGTGGTTAAGCTGGTTGTCTCCAGTATGGGAGCCGCGGCCTGGACACCTGCGCCCTGATGCCCACCCTCTCCCCAGGAGCGCCTGGACCATGCTGCTGAGCGCCTACTGGCACGGGCTGCACCCCGGCTACTATCTCAGCTTCCTGACCGTCCCGCTGTGCCTGGCCGCGGAGGGCTGTCTGGAGGCTGCCCTGTGGGGTCGGCTGAGCCCCAGGGGCCAGAAAGTCTGGTACTGGGTGCACTGGTTCCTGAAGATGCGCGCCTATGACTACATGTGCATGGGCTTCGTGCTCCTGTCCATGGGCAGCACGCTCCGCTACTGGGCCTCCGTCTACTTCTGCCTGCACATCCTGGCCCTGGCCTGCCTGGGGCTGGGGCTGGCTTTGGGTGGGGGCCGGCCTGGCCGGCGGAAGACCGCGTCCCAGGC